TTTTTACAAGAATGTCAGAGTATATCGGATGCCTTGGAACAGGCTTAGCACCAGATCCTTGAGATGTAGCTTTTGGCTTACCATTGTCTTACCCCAAAGATGCATGTCTGGAGCTATTCTAATGGGACAGGAAAAAGTACAGTAGTGTGGAGACAATATTCTCCTTTTTGTGCTTAAGCATGGATCTAGTCTGTTGTGCTTTATTAAGAAAAGCAACAGTTTATCCACTAGGTAGTATTCTTTAAAAAACTCTTTGCAAGAAGATTACGTCCCAAATATCCACAGTCCTTCACAGCCTCTGTTTTTCTCTGCAGACTGGGGCTACAAGGTACTGGTTTAAATTGTGAGAGCATGACTTGAAGTCATGTAGAGAATTCTTGGTTTTGTTTCCTCTTGGTGAGTTAGATTGTTACATCTTGCCACCCAATTACCTTTACTATTAAAACTTATTAAGTTCTGCCAAGGAAGCTAAGCATAAGCAAAATAAAACAGGATCATCTGGTTCTTCTTTGCACAGGGGTAACTTGTCAAAGTCTTGGCAGAAACTTTGTAAAACCACATCACACACAAAATTAGGTTCAATAAATAGTAGCTAAAACTAGATTTTTTTTTTTCTTGCCTTGATAAAATTGTACAGTTCTTTCAGTTTCTAATTTTAGCTCTGTGGTTTACAATAAATATCCTGAAAGCTTTATTTTAAATTTTTCTTGAGTGGAGGAGGTATAGTTAATGCATGTGTTCCTATTAAAAAATCAGCAAGTGAGAGATGCTTATTATTTCCTTGATTGTTTAGTGTGTGTTTGCAGTGTTGCAATCTTCTGGGGTCTTGTTAAATGTGTGAAGAAAATCAGGAATTTATTGTCGCTCAGTCCCATGTCAGTTCAGAGGATCTTAAGGCATTTATTGCTATAGAATGACTAATAAATGTAATCTGTTTAAGTTTACTTTGTAGCCTCCGAAGATTTTAAAAAATGTTTTGTTTTATTTGCCTGTGTGGGTTTTTTTATGTTATCCTTGCACTGTATATCTGAACTTTGGCCTTTCTGAAACATGTTTTGTAATTAAATGGTCTTAACTGGCATGTCTTGCTTTAAGGACTTGTATTGTGTAGAGCATAATGTCAACATTTTTGCAGGAAGTATAAAATTGATGAATATCTGAATAAATTTATTTTCACAGTGGTTTCGATCATAGATTCTAATGGTGCAGTGGGTGCATACTTGTCTAATGTGTAGTAGTAAGACAGAATCCAGATAAATCAGTAGTTGGCAGCATCCTTGAATGCATTTTAAGTAAAGCCTTTTGTTAGTGAAATGAGAAATGCCAATTCATGCACCATTGCAACAAACTTTTTCCTCTGAATACTGTAAAATGCTATGTGGAAAGTATTCTTTTTCCACTGCCTGCTTTGCTCCTTTTTTTGGATCCAAGAATCACAAATAAGTGGAGTTCCTAACAGCATGTTGAAGCTCTGGAGAACCCCTGTGGCAGGGCTGAGGACAGGTGTGTCTGGGCAGAAGGGCAGTTCCAAACCAGAGCAATGCAGTGCTGCTGGAGCAGTTGTACCTTTTTTTCCCTGTAAAGACCAGAGACTCTGCTGGACAATAACTGTTGAACAGTTGTCTCAGTAAGACTTTTTTCTTTAATGGAAGATACATTCAGGATTGTACATGTAGCCCAGACAGTTATGTGCTGTTTCTCTGTTTTCATTTTAATTTTCTTGCATTAGACCTCAGTGCTTTGCCTCTCTCATTGTTTGAGCATGGAACTGAGTCCAGGAGACTTGTTTTTACATATAAAGAAGAATGAAGAGCTTGCTCTGTGCCTCTCAAACTTTTCACTGAGTTGCTGGAAGCCCACATGGATAAGATGCAGCAATTGCATCCCTACATATCAATGGGTAATAGTAAAAGGTAAGTGATACTGATAACAGCTAAAACAAGTCGTCATAACTCCTACTACATTATGAACTTCCTGACAGCAAATGTTTGTGAGCAAAGCTGTGTAAAAATGAGGGAGAAAGCAGATATGCCACCCTGTGTCCTTTGGGCAGTCAAATTGCTGTATGTTAGAATATGGATATAGGTCACTTCATGTACAGGAGTCCTTGTGGTGCCATTGTGGTGCCTTGCTTATATGATCTCATTGAAAATACTGCATTACAGCTAAAACAGAACATTTTAATGAGGGTGTACTGGATCACCTGCAGTGAGTTCTGCTGGCTACTTCATCAAACAGGCAATAGACAAAAATGCCTTTATGCTCTGGTCCTGTACTTACATGCCTGAGTTAAACATGTCCATAAGTGTTTGTGTGATGAGAGCTTACATCAACAAGTTTCCCTCTGCAGTGCTTGACCTGTGTTTTTTATTGTAGAGAGAAGTAAAAAGGAGCTCAGTTTCCTAATGGATTTGGAAAACAGATTACTATCTCAGGATCTTCATGAGTTGTGAGGTGGTCCTGATACTTGAAATACTGAGGCAGGGCTGGTCTTCTGTAACATGGTGCTCCAAGGAAAAGCTAGGCACTATGTTTTTGCCTGCTGGTTGTTCTGATTTCCTGAGCTTCTCAGGGCTCATACTGGTTCATAGTCTAGATCCCATCTATTCCATCCTCTCTTCCTCTGCTCCCCTGGCTGATTTTGTCTCTTCTGAATTTCAGGATCTCCTCCCAGGCTTTCACCTCAAGTAGCAGGTTCTGGTACTGCTTCTTTATCAAGTGCTTAGGTGTCGGCAATAGCTGGCTAGGAGACAAATTAATGAGTTAACTTCTCTGTGCCCTAAACGTGGGCATCAGCTCAACGTCACTGTGTATTATGTATTTTCCCCATGGACCAATCAGCTAACGTGCAGGAGCACAAAATGGATCTTCAAAAAGAGAAGACATGAAATAGTTCACTTGGACAGCTTATAAGCAACATATGACCCAGAGTCGTATTGATAAAACTGCTCAGATTTGGAATTGTGATTGTATGAACACTTAAAATTATCAATAAAGATTTTGAAGCAGTTTTGAGTTCACTGAACCCTCCTACTTGATTGACCAGTGATTTACACATATATAAAGACTTTAACTGACTTAGAGGGTAATTTATGTCACAATGTGCATGATATATGGATCTAAATAGACTAAAGAGAGGGGGAAAGTAACCATCTGATCTCTAGAAAATTGTCTGCTGTCAGAGGGGCTCGAAAACTGTTTGAAAAACGTGTTTAGAAAGCCATAAGTAAATTTCCTAAATTTTCTGTGCTTTCTGGATGGCATTCTCCCTGGGTACATATTGCCCAGGAAAAAAAGTTAGGAAGTCGAATTTTTTAACTGTCTAGTCTTTTTAAGTATTTCTAGGTCTTTCAAAAGGCTTTATTTTTATGAACCTCTATAGTGGGTTTTGTCCTGATCTTCCCAGTGCTCATGGAATATTGTTTTTTGCAGCTACAGGATGGATATGGAGACCCCAACACCCCAAGGTCCAAGTTCAAACATGAAAATGAGAGTGTCATTACTTGGGAGCAGCAGGGTTATATTTAGGACAGGAGTTTAAAAGCAGACTTACCTACATACCTAGTAGGTTTTGTAAGCATAATTTCCTTGTGCCCCTCTCTTATGCTACACAAACAAGTTATTGACCAGAAGAAAAACACTTCTGCATATTCTGAATACACGTGAACTTCTTCAATAGGACGACTCATGCATACAGATTTACATAAAAGCACAAGCACTTGTGGGATCAGGGCTTAACTTGTAGTATCCCTCTCCTACCTGAGAGGGAAAAATCCTGGAGGTATGTGCATCAAAGAAAGTTGAGTGCTCCAGAAACTATAGACAACAACTGCAAAAGCAGTTGGAGGATCTCTCGTGTTCCCCCTTTTCTTTGTTTGTTGGGTTTTGGTTTCAATTTTTTAAACTGATTTTTAAAAATGTATCTATTTATTTGTTTTTAATACTGTTGCTTTGCAAATTAAATATACCTGTAGCAAGCACAGTATTCAACAGCTCGATGGAGAACAGACCTCCGATCTAGAGGACTTTCAAAAATTCATCCTCTGCTGGACCCTTCACTCGTGGTGTCTCCTGAAGCGCTTCTTTGTCAAGCGCAGAGACAAAACCCGCTCCCGATGTGACTCCCTCCGGCGCGGAGCCGGCGCCGCCCGCAGGGGTCAGTGCTGCCCCGGAGAGCAAGCGGGGCTGCGGCCGCCGGGACGGGCAGCCGTGCCCAGCGGCGACGGGGACAACCGCGGGGCGCGGGCCGGGGCAGGGGACATCGCCCCCACCCCACGGCAGAGGGCAGGGAGCGCCCGGCCCCGGAGCGGGCACACCGGTGGGTGCCGTGCCAGGATGCGGCGCGGTGCCGGGGCCGGGCAGGTGCCGCCCGCCGCTCTCCGCCCCAAAGGCGTCCCGGGGGAGTCCTGCCTGGCGGCCGGCAGGAGGCGGCCGGCGCTGCCCGACCGCCGGGTCTCTCTTCTCTCCATCCCTCCGCCCCCGACGGGGAGGAGGCGAGCGCTGCCGGCGCCCCCCCGCACGGCCGCGGGCAGCCGGGGAGCAGCGCAGCGCCAGCCGGGCACCGCCACCGCCCCGCTCCGCCCGCAGGCTCCGCGGCCGGAGGGAACGCGCTGGCCGGGCGGGGACCACCCCCACGCCCCGGCTGCGGCGGCCGAGAGCGCTTCCCCGGCCCCGCTCCTGCACACAAAGGGGAGGCGCGGAATCGTGCGCGGACGGGGCGGAGGACGAGGCGGGTGGGCGGCTCGGTACCTCCCCGGGGCGGCAGCGGTGGGGGAGCCGCCGTGACAGCCGGGCGCGGGCGAGGGCTGTGCCCTGGGATCCTCCCTAAAAAAGCCGCCGGGGTTTTTTTTCCCCCTTTCCCGGAGAGAGAGCCCGGCAGCCCCGTCCAGGCTGTTGGGCAGGATGGCGGCGGGCCGCCCCGTGGGGCTGGGCGCTGCGCCCTAGCAGCCGCCGGGCTCCATCCGCGCAGCCGGGGCGCGGAGCCGGGTGCGGCCCAGAGCCTGCTGCGCCTCAGCCCCTCTCCGCCGCCGCCCGGGGCTCTTCTCGCCTCCCCGCCCCGTCTTCGGCCATCGCAGCAGGCATGGGCTGTTTCTGCGCGGTCCCGGAGGAATTTTACTGCGAAGTTTTGCTCCTGGACGAGTCCAAGCTGACCCTGACCACACAGCAGCAGGGCATCAAGGTAAGCACGCCGGCAGGGCTGCGGGGTCGCGATGCGGGAGAGCCCGCGGGGCTGCCCGGCGGCGGCTGCCTCCCGACTGCGCTGCGATAGCCAGGAAGGGAGCGGCGGCGGAAAAAAAAAATGGGGTTTCGGGAGGAATAACGTCGTAACTTTGCTTACGGTCGCGCAAAGGACAGATGGATCAGGGTGACGCTCGCCGGTGGGGCAGACGGTGCTCTGGAAGGCTTCACCTCGAGGTAGTGACTTAAAACGAGCAGGTGCCGACCACCCCGGGGCACTCGGGACCCTCGGCGCAGAGGTATTGTTCTGTACCTGCCAGAGCAAGAAAAGAGAAGGCGGCTGTGTGCACGGTGCGTTGCGCGCCCGTGTTGAGTCATTCCCCGCTCCCTCTGCCTTGGGCCGTGCCCGCCTGGGACGCGCTCTCCTGGGAAAGGCCGGGGGCAGCGGAGCGGGGCGGGAGCGCAGCAGCTCCCGAGCGCAGGGCGAAGGTCCAGCCGCCTCCCCAGCCCGGTGTCCCGTGGCCCGGCCGCTGGGAACAGCTCCTGCGCCGCTGCGGCACGCTCGGCGTGGACGAACTCTTCAAAGTAGTCATCTGCCAAGCGCTAATGAGCCCTGACAGAGCTTGTGGAAACTGAGATTTTTCTAAAGGCCCTTAACTTGGTCCTGTTTGATTAAGCGTGATGACAACTGATAGCATGTCGCAGACACTTGAAGTCCTTGTTCGAAGAGCCACGGACATGAATTTATTAGCAACGTAAGAACGTGGTTTCAATGTCGGATTGTTGGATCAGGAAAAAAAAAACCGAACAAAAAACCAAACCAACCAACCAACCAACCAAACAAACAAAAGACATTTGAGAAAGAGAAAATACATTCAAAGAAAGAAATTAGTTCTTCTAAAATTTATTGTTGGAAAGGGCTGTCCGATTTTACCTAAGACATCCAAAGAATAAAATTCTGTATGCCTTTGTGCTTTAGCTTGAATGATTGAAGCTTGGAGAAGCAACTGTGGAAAGCAGAACCTGAAGGAGGGTAGTGGGGAGAGGGAGTTTATATTTAACGATATATTTTCAACCGTAATCAGTGGTATTACTAGGTCTACGTGTATTCAGCATTATCAAGCTTTGCCTGCAGATAGGCCCATAAATCCATGCTTAGCACAGAGGAATAAGCAAATCATGCTGGAATGACACCGGAATTCAGTACCTGTGCAGGGTCTTTGAAGTCTAAGTTTAGACACTTCTGAAAAGCCTTACCTTTCAATGTGCAGATGTGGGTGTGTATATCATGCACGCTTTTGTGCAGTAAACATGCAGTCACAGAAGTATGTTAAAAGTATAATCTGCAAAGATGGTTAGTCTAATGAAGCTAAAACCTGAAAGTGAAGGGTTTGTGCAGTGTCTAATAAAAATTAATGTCCCATGGGAAAGAAAGAGTCTGAAGATGTAACTTCTTTCCAAGAATACATGACTTGCAGTCTTGGGAACTGTCTAGTTTAAGATGAGGGTGTGTTTTCCTGCCGTTCTTAGTGTGATCTGAATGTGGTATAATGCCAAATATTTCATCCCTTCTACCTGCTCCTTCTCTGTCTGAAACTCAACCACAGAGCAGTCATGGAATCAGTTGGAACAGTGTGTGGATCTGACGAGAAAAGTAATAGTTCATTAACAATTTGGCATAGGCACTCACACTGCACAGTGGGAAACCTTAGGGAAGGGAGAATCTCCCTTTTCATAGCAGCCTGTTTTCTGTGTTTTCTTTTTCTTTCCTTTGTTTTAAGATATAGTTTGTACACGGTGAAGCCACACCCCAGCACTGTAGCTCCATGAGCCTTTGAAAACCCAAGGTGAGGAGCTGCGGAGCTCTCTCCCAGGCTGTGTTTTAAACCATGGAGCCCTCCCTTGCCTCGGTACCCGCAGGAGTGTTTGTGCAGCTGTGCGTGAGGAGCAGCTCCTGCCCAGCTGAAGGGTGGCCACTGCTTTGCCTTTCGCTGGGTGAGTCTTCAGCTGGACCTTTGTGCTCTGCTCCACTTCACAGCTGGAGGATGGCAGAAATGGCTTTTTCAACACAGTCCTGGCTTCTGTCATTTTCAGCTGCTGTTGTTATTCTACAGCTTTCCAGGGATGTTATGTTATCAATTATTAGTGAAACAGAACATAAAATTTGTCATATTCTGTCACGCTTTGTCATTTGGTACTTTACCCTTGAAATACAAATATTTTATTTTAAATCTTTTGAAATGCACTCATGTAAATGCAGAGAATTTTTTTTTAATTTTTTATTTTTTTTTTTAATTGGCATTTCAGCTTTGGCACATATGTATAGTTTGTAAAAGTTCATATAGGTTTCATTTTAAACTAACATTAAAAAAAGCCCCATTTCCTTAGAACTACAGATTCTGGATGGGATCTTCCTTTTCTCATCTTCACTTTTGATTTGGTTCAGAGATACATGGGACACAAGCTTTTGGTCCTCTTTCACATATCCTGAATTGTTACAGGAGGAACTTTGTTCTTTTATTTTCCCCCAAGCAGATGCATGTCTGTTAGAAATAAAAACCACAGCTCAACAGCTTTTGGCAATTTATGTACTTGCTTGATATTAGTGGGTATAAACCTACTTGTTTTGAAGGGTGGAAGGCAGTGCCCTGTAGGAGTCCGAGGCAAGTTTGTTTCTTCAGAGAATTGGATATGAAGTAGATACTTGTGGCCAGTGAGTTTTGAGGATGCATTGCTTACTTTGTATAGTGGTTATTTCTGACTTGTTATGCTTGGTAGCAGCTCTACTTATCAAAACATGACATTTTTTAATTACAATTTCATTGACACATTCTTCATTCTATAGTGGGCTTCAAATTGTACTTCACATTGAAACAATGAGCAGAGGTGACAAGACTGAGACTTTGAGTGCAGTTTAGGGATACTTTTCTCTGTGGACTTCAAAGAGCTTGTTAGGGAAAGAAAAAGATTAGCTTTCTTCTCGCTCCCAAGTAGGGAAGCTGAGATGGAAAGAGGTCAAATGGCTTTCTCAAGGTTGTATGACAAGGAAACGACTTCCCTTTGCTATTGGGGTGATAGAACTGACCATTCTTCCATGGGCCATGCTGTCTGGAGGGGTTTGTGAGGAACTCTTCTTCAGACCAATTATTGCTTCTCAGGGTTTTTTTGTTTGTTTTTGGGGTTTTTTTGGTTTTTTTTTTTTGGTTGGGGTTTTTTTTGGTTTTTTTTTTGGGTTTTTTTTTTTTTTTTTTTTTTTTTTACTGTTATCAGTGTATCAGTCCTGCCTTGCTGTTCTCCCTTTCTGTCTTTGTGGTTTAAGGTTAGAGCACTGCTCTATGAAAATGTGTAAGCTGGCTGTCCAGCACTGAGGCTTACAGGAGGCTGATAAGAGTTAGGTAATCAGGAAAGGCCATCAGCTGTCTCATAATCTTAATTTTTATGTTTTCTTATAGTACATTAACATGCATTGAGATAAAAAAGTGATGGCAGTTGTTAGTCCCAGAAATTTTGGGATTGAAGAGGCTATTCGCCACAATCTCTGGCTGCTTTCTAGTCAACGTGCATGGCCTCAAATGGGGACAGCTTTTCCTCTTAAAAGGATGTTCAAGTTTCCAGTTAGGAAATGGGTTTTTGCTAATGATATGGTAAGAATGAACTACCAGCTGAAAATAATCCCTTTTCCAGGACTGCTACTTTGTCTTCTCTTCACACAGACTAAACAATTAGACTTAGGCATTTTTATGGTACAGCACCAGTTGCAACTCATCTGTTGATGTTGCGAGACATGTCAGAGGTCTTTTGACATGATACCTGACTGAGGGGTTGTGGGCATTACATATTTTGGCTCTGTTGAGAACTGAGCTAATTGTCCTTGTAAACAGTGGTGTGCCTTATTGCACAAATTTGTTTCTGGAGATCAAGGAAAATCTCTGTGGGCCCTTAAAAATAATGCCTTGAAACATATTGGTTATCAGCTCTTTCATAAAGAGTGCTCATCTTGAAAAGTGTGTGTTACAGGAACCTAAGAACCCTTTTTTCCCCCACCTTGAAAAGAGTATTTAAGGGAGATATTTGTTTTGTTTTTTCTCTCCTGAAGAAGCTAAAAATGTTATGAAGCATCTGTGTCTCATGTTTGCATCTCTTTGGTTGGAACAAAGATCTCAAAAAAAAATTAGCTACTTTTGCAGTGAAGAAGCTCTCTAATTAGTCTTAAGCCATCTGGTCATTGCACTTTTGAAGTGCTCCTTGAAATTCCTCTCTGAGCACAGTTTTTATGTTCTGTTTAGACTGACATGTGTGATGGGCCATCAGCAGTATTTCATTAGAAGAGAAGTGATGAACAGGAAAGATACACAAGGTATTCCTGGGAGAAGTATATGTTCTGTAATATTATTTTATTAGATGGTACCATTTATCACTGGTGGCCAGTGATAGTCTGGCCATCATACCATTTACTTGATGATTTACTGAGAGTTTAGCAAAAGGATGGCTAAAAAACCCCCTAGCCCTCACCTCAAAAAAAACCCCTAACAAAATAACAATAACAACAACAACAAAACAAACCAAAACCCCCCCAAAAAAACAAAGCAAAAAAGCAAACCTGAAATAGAGAGTGACTGATATTAGGAACTTTGTTTACTAACTGGACATATAAAAAGCATTAGTGGGTTCATCAGAATATTATACATATTGTGAAGATACTTATGGAAAAATTGACCAAAGGATTCAGTATGATCTACAGAAGTAGGTGAGCGCATAATTTCTTAGAAAGTTTTCTGTGGATTATTATGGTATTTTTCCTTTTTTAGTGTGTGTGGTTTTTTGTTTGGTTGTTGGTTTTTTTTTTTTCATTTTTGTTCAGTTTGGGGGTTTTTTTGTTTGCTTTTTCCTTTGTTTTTGTTTTGTTTGACTTTTTTTTCAGTCCCCAGTGAAGCTAAATAGTTCCAGACTTCATGTCTTTAAAATACAGTGCATACAGAAAATATACAATTTTACACTTTT